TTCCTAAGAATGGGAGGAATATAAATTCTATTTTTAAAATAAAATATACCATCCTTTTTTGTTAGTATAGGTGTTTTGGGAAGTTCAAGATCCTTCTGATTCAAATTCTTTATGTCATCATGAAGAGAAGAGAGGATTCCTATTATTTTATTAGGAGGATAATCATCAGTAGTAGTTTTAGAAGGAATTCGAGAAAGAGCGTCAGCCTTTTTATTTCTAGTTCCAGGTCTGTATATTAATTGGAAGTTAAATCGGTTAAAAAATAGGTTCCATCTAACTTGTCTAGCTGTAAGGGTTTTGTTAGTATAGAGATATTCAAGATTTTTATGGTCAGTATAAACTATTATAGGTTGTTTTGTATCTTCCAGAAGATGACGCCAATTTTCGAAGGCAGCTTTAACACTTAATAATTCTTTTTCACCAATAGGATAATTTTTTTCAGCAGAGCTCAAGGATCTTGAAAAAAGGGCAACTGGATGAAGTGGATCTTGTGGAGTCTTTTGTTGAGAAAGAACTGCTCCGATGGCTGCATCTGATGCATCAACTTCAAGAACATATAGGAATGTTGGATTAGGTAGTTGTAGAATAGGTGCAGTTGTAAATCTTTTTTTTAATTCGTCGAAGGCTGTTTGTGCATCTTTATTCCAATTGAAAGGACGTTTACTACTGTTGAGGAGGTTAAGAGGATGTGATACATCCGAATAGTTTCTAATAAATTTTCTATAGAAGTTTGCAAATCCAAGAAAACTTTGTAATTCTTTTGTAGTAGTAGGAGCGGGCCAGTCAATAATACATTTGATTTTGGAATTATCCATCTTCAAAGAATGAGGTGAAATAATGTATCCTAGAAAAGAGAATTCAGTAACCTCAAAAAGACATTTTTCTGGTTTAGCGTATAATTTATGAGTTCTCAGTCTAGATAGAACCCATCTAACATGCTTCCTATGTTCATCCAAATTGTTAGAATATATTAAGATATCATCTAAGTAGATAATAACACATATATCCAGAAGATCTCTAAAGATATCATTTATAAAATGTTGAAAAGTTGCAGGGGCATTACAGAGCCCAAAAGGCATCACTAGATATTCGTAGAGACCATATCTTGTCCGGAAGGCGGTTTTCCATTCATCATCCTGTTTTATTCTAATGAGGTTATATGCGCCTCGAAGATCGAGTTTAGTGAATATAGTTGCAGTTCTTAACCTTTCAATTAATTCATTTATTAGTGGAAGAGGATAACGATTTTTAATAGTTATTTTATTTAAGGCTCTGTAATCTATAATAGGATGGATGGTTTGGTCTTTATTCTTCACAAAGAAAATACTAGAGGCAGCAGGAGAGGTCGAGGGTCTGATGAACCCTTTGCGTAAATTTTCATTAAGATATTCTTTTAAAATTTCTAACTCCTTTTCAGAGAGTGGATAAATATGACCATAGGGAATAGGAGCTCCGGGTATGAGATCTATTGGGCAATCATATACCCGATGAGGAGGAAGTGTTTCCGCTTCTTTTTTACAAAAGACATCTGCAAAATCGGAGTAGAATGGAGGTATAACTGGTTCTACAGTAGTTTGAAGAATAGGAATGTGTTGTAAGCACGTTTTTTTACAGAAATCAGAAGCAAAGGAGATGGAGAAGGGAGACCACTTAATTAAAGGATCATGGTTTTTTAACCAATTAATTCCTAGAATGACGGGATAAAGTGGAGATTTAATAATATCAAATGTAATGAATTCGAAATGTACGTTGTTGGTAATCATTCTTAGAGGGATTGTCTCATCTTTGATGGGTCCTGAGGATATAAATGAACCGTCAATAACTCTGATTGGAATAAAGTTAGTTTTTTGAACACAAGGAATTTTATTTTTTTGAAACAAAAGAAAAATCAAGAAAAGTTCCATTAGCACCAGAATCAATGATGGCCTCAGTCACGATTCTTTTTGTATCCCACTGTAATATGAGAGATATAGAAAAATAAGTAGATGTTTTTCTTTTTTGAAAAACGTTCAATATAGAGGTAGATGAATGAAGCTTACCACCTTTTGAATGTTTCAGTAGAGGACATTCGGAAATTAGATGTTCGTTCGAGGCGCAATACATACATAAGTTTAGTTGTCTCCTTCTTATTCTTTCTTCAGAAGTAAGAGGACTTTTTATTATACCTACTTCCATAGGTTCAGTTTGGGGAGGAATTTTTTCAGGTAATTTTAGAGTAGTGAAAGGTTTTCTCCAGGTATAATTAGTAAGAACCTTTTCAGCTTTTCTTTCTCTTAGACGTCTATCAATACTGATGGACAGTTGAATCAATGCATTTAAGGTAGGAGGAAGTTCTGTACGAGAGAGTTCATCTTTCACAGCTTCAGATAATCCGAGACGGAATTGATTGCGTAAAGTAATGTCATTCCATTGGGTTTCTGTAGCCCATCTTTTGAATTCTGCAATATAATCTTCAACAGGTCTATTCTTTTGGTGTAATGTTCTGATGGTTAAATCAGCAGTAGTTTGTTTAAAAGGATCTTCATATAATAAAGACATAGCTTCAAAGAACTCATCCAATGAATCTAATATGGGATCATCATTTTCCAAAAAGGAATGGGCCCAGGCCATAGATTCACCTCTTAAAAAAGAGATCACTGAACAGACTTTGGATCTTTCGGTGGGATAAGATCTAGGTTTTAAAGCTATTAGTAGTTTGCAAGAATTCAAAAACTCTCTGTACTTTGTTCTATCTCCATAAAATTTTTCTGGATTACAGACAGCAGGATCACCGGCCGATTGAAGAGCGGCATGAGGAAGATGACCTTGAATGTCTCTAACATAGGTTAATACTCTCTCATTTGTAATTTGCAGTTCCTGTAACCCTTGAGCAATCGTATCCACTCTATTGGTTAGGGCAGAAACTTGAGAGTTGATATCTGCTGGTTCCATTGAATTAGGCTGGATTATTCTGTAATGCTTATTTTGTAATACTTCTTTAATTGGAACTCAACTGCAGAATTTCCTGGTTGCAGCAACAATAAGTTTCACCTCCTTTTATATTGATATGAAACAATGGTCACTGTACCTTTAAATACACATGAAGGCAAAATTAGGCTTTGTAGCAATCCCTTATGAATAAGAGAAATAATTAGACAAAGTGACACTTTAGTGAGTTTTAGATACTGTGTAATATAAATAATAGGAATTGGCTTGTTTGGTAAAAGTATTACTTAACTTAAAGGCAGTTCTGGCACTGGAAGGTTTAATTCACCCAATGAAGGAGAAATTAGAAGTCCGTTTCAACAAGCTGAGAACTAGGAGTGAAGAGTGGGGAAGTCCGTTTTAACAAGCCGAGGTCTGGGAGTGGAGAAGGTAGAATTCAGAGTTACAAGCCGAGGTCTAGGAGTGGAGAAGGTAGAAATCCGTTTACAAGCCGAGGTCGAGAAGTGGAGAAGGTAGAAATCCGTTTTAATAGCCGAGGTCTAGAAGTGGAGCAGGTAGGATCAAAAGTAGAGCAGCTGATCTTTCTGCAGCACCTGTGCGAATAATCCAGCCCTTTGAATCTGGCGCGGTCTTCCTAAGTATCGTGGAGGGACCGCGTCAGAAAAAAGGGCGGGCCTGAGCGCCGTGAACCCGGAAGTGGGTTCCGGCGACGAAATACATGCCATGCTATACCTGACACACACATAGGGGCTGGGGAAGGGGAGAATGAAACACACAGAGGGGCTGGGGAAGGGGAGAATGAAACACACAGTGGCTGGGGCAGAGAAAAGAGCCAGACAGAACATTTTAAGGGGCTTGGGAGAGAAAGACACACAAAATGGACTGGGGGGAAGAAACATACAGAGGAGCTGGAGAATGGGAAAAAGACACACGAAAGGAGCTGGGAGGAAGTAAACTATACACAAAGAGGGAGGGGGATTGTAAGAGACACACAAGAGGGTGTAAGACACACAAGAAGGGAAAAATGGAAGGTAAGATACACTAAAGCAGGTAAATAAATCAAAAGAGGGGATAGGAAACGCAAAAAGGGCAAGAAATTCAAAAGGAAAGTAAGAGATAAGGGTATTTTTTTGGGGGGGAGGAGGGGATTGGATTTTTGCCTATGTCTCCTGCTCTCCCTGTACCGTTCTTCAGCACAGGAGTCTATGCCAAAGAGTTGATTAACAGGTGAGAGAAAGATGCCTTATTGCAGGGACACTAAAGTCACCAGATCCACTATAGTTTAATGTAGTATTTCTGGTGTGTATAGCCTGTTCTGTTGGCTGAGAACTGTAAATGCTGCAAGTGCTGCCTAGGAACACCTCTAGTGGCAGTCACACAGACGGTTCAATGCATCTCTGAGCAGATGCTGATTGGCTCAGCACGGCATCGTGCCACGCATGCGCAATAGCCTCCAAATGATTTCCTACGTTTGATGATCTCAGCCAAAGCGAAGAGCGCACTCACAGGACTTCAAAATAAACATGAAATAACATCATTTTTTTACAGTTGTGCAACTTTATACATTCACCATTCCAGTCCCATTGCCAAACATTTCTTAATATGTCAGGGTTGGACTGAACCATTGATTATATGCAAAGGCACGTCTGCTGAAAATAAATACACTCTTTCGTTTATTGTGAAGCCCTATGAGTGCTTTATTTCACATTTGAGTATAGTTTTTATAGTTCAATTTTAAGTTACCTTTTCGTTCCCAGACTGGCCCTGAGTACAGGTCACAGAAAAGTAGGGAGTCAGGCGCGGACTAGCTTAATGGAGCGAAAGAGAAAGAAGAAATCTTCCTTGGCTGTCTGATTGAGTGTCACTTTTATAAACCATCATGTCTCCAGATGCATATAGCATTCCAGCAAGCAGGTCCTTTAAAGGCTCACTCTAAGCACCATAACAACTTTGCATCATTGTACAGTCTCCCTATACATGACTCTGCATAACTGCAGCAATTAGTTAAAATCTGTGCAGCTAGGATTGCCATCCTACCCATCTCTCAAACATGGAATTTTATTTACTCTTTTGACGACCAACCTGTGTCCGTCACTGTAGTGTGCATGCAAAATAACTTGGACAGACGACATCTCACATCAAGCCGTGTCAGTTTGACAGCTCAGGAAATAGCTGCGTACAACCTGTTCACAAGATCTGACTGGTATGGACTAACTCTGCTGTTCCTCTAAGTCTAATCTATCAAATAACTGGAGCTGCTTCTAGGGATACACTCCATATCTCACAAATATATTTAACCCCTTAAGGACACATGACATGTGTGACATGTCATGATTCCCTTTTATTCCAGAAGCTTGGTCCTTAAGGGGTTAAATAACGTGATTTTAACCAATAAGGCAATTTTTCTATTTTTGGAAGTAGCCTTTCCAATAGGAAGCGCTCCTTTTTTGTCTATATTTAGAATCAATATTGTTGGGTTGGGCTCAGTAGTTGCCCTTTCGAACAAATCGCTCAACACTACTTTAGGCGTTAGGATTTGTTGTAGGTCCACTTTAGCATCCTGAAGTGTAATTAAGAACGTGTCCTGTTTTTTTTGTTTTTTTTTGTCATTTCACAAATTGTGCAGATTTCAGTAGAATTTGGCACTTCTTAAAATTAACCCTGTAACACCCCCTGGCTGTCTGTCAACCGGTCCTGTTACTTCCTGGTTTGGTCAGTTCAGTGAAGCTAAACTCAAGAGGCAGCAATTGCCCAGAGCTCCTGCCTTGCAAAGAATTCTCATTGAGCTGCATTGGGAAGTCTGTGATTGGACAGACACAGAAAGTCTGGGCGGGGTTAGAAGGGGAGGGAGAGAAGTCTTTGCTCTGAGCAATTGATGCCTCTCAAAGGAACACCTTAGTGACAGGAATACAAATATGTATTCCTGCCACTATAGTTATGAAAACCCTATATAGGTGACCGGCCCCCCTGTAAGCAATTTAAAAGGTGAATTAGTTCACCTTTATTCCAGCGCCATGCGGGTTTGCTCGTGGCTGGCTCCACCACTGCTCGCTCCCCTGGCTGAGATCCCCAAAATTGCCGATCGATCTCAACCAATCCATGTTTTCCCATAGGAAAGTATTGGGAGGCTATTGCGCATGCACAGAGCCAACCAGCATCTCCTCATAGAGATGCATTGAATCAAAGTCTTAAATGTGCAGGATTTGCACAGGAAGTGTGTAGCTGGCGGATTATTACCTGACCAAGAAAAGTCCCCACAAATTAAAAGCCTCTCATTCTGGGGTTTGTTCTGTTTTTCCATTTTTTTTGTTTTTCTTTATTATGCAATGAAATATTATTCGGAGTGTTCCTTTAACAAAATTAAATAAACCAAACCATAATCCGTAATATTTAAAAAATCTAGGTTTGCCACTTTGGGAGAGTCAGTTATCACCTAATAAAAATAAAAACTGAGCGATTCTGTCTAAAAACTTGACCATATAAACCAATTTGTACTTATTTTACAAATTGATGTGTAGGTGCATGGCATTGCCTTCCGGCAGAGGTGGTAGAGAGTTATAAAGTAAACCGGATGATGAATATTCTAAATAGACAATCTACTGCTCTGTACGGGAAGGGAAATGAGAAATAAAAAGCCTGTGTTTTGAGAAGGGGAGTGGGTGGAACAGCGGAAACAAATTCCTTTGTCTTCTATATAAAAATCTATCAGGAATATTTACTAAGGTGAGAATTTAAATTTAAGGCCAAAGTAGTCAATCTGAAAGCACAGATGACTCAAGGAATATTTCTAATTCGGCTATTTTGACCTTAGCATTCACCTTGAATTCTCACTATAGTGAATAAGTCTATGTTTTTCTCGAGCGGTAGTGTTTTGTTTTTGTGAGATTCCTGCCACACCCCATCCCACGTGTCCAGCCTGCACCCTCTGTATAATAACAAACCGATGTCTGGATTCATTTTGTGAAAGTGAACGGATGCGTTTGTTTTGCAGGATGTGGTGCAGGGTAAGAGTGGATGTACAGAGTGTGATCTGAGTCATTTCTTTACAACGTGAGCATAGTACGTTCGCCACAATCGGGGACTCTTGTTCTGTCGACATTATTTCATTTGTCAATTCTGTGGTTTTAAATCTCCTTTGTAAAACTGCGAAGCACTGTGGTATTCATTGCTGTTATATAACTTAAATAAGCAATAATAAAGTACTAATTGCGATTTCCGAAGAATTTTTATAATGCGGGACTGTTCGTTCTCTGGAAGTGACGGTTCCTTGTCCCCTCACTCCAGCGTTTACTGGCATGAATGACGCAGCAAAGGTAAGTAAAAAATGCACTTACCTGCTTTGTACTTTTGTTTGGTTGGTAACTTTGAGGACCCATGATTCCTCAGACGCACTCGTACATCTACAGAGAAATGCTGTGCGAGCTGTGTGCGCTCGGGCTTTCCTTCTGCAGGGCTGTGTGCACTGCAAGGGATAAAATTATTTACATTCCATGCCCTGGGCACAGCATGTAAAGTAAAAATAAATGAGGAATTAAAAGGACACTAGACTACCCAAATACAAAATAAAATTTAAAAAATCACTGTGTGGTAGATATACCCCAAAATGTAAAACGTTCCTGCTTTTAATTATATATAATTGCAATTGGGTTATATCTAAAAAAAAATAAAATAAAAAAAAAGCCTGCAAAAGCTGTAGCTCTCTTGTCTGCAGCCTTTGCAAGCCCTCCCCTTCTAACCCCGCCCAGACTTTCTGTGGTTGTCCAATCACAGACTCCCCAATGCAGCTCAATAAGAAGTCTTTGCAAGACAGGTGCTCTGGGCAACTGCTGCCTATTGAGTTTAACTCCACTGAGCAAACCAGAAAGTAACAGGACTGGTTGTCTGATTGACAGCCAAGGGGGTGTAATAAGGTTAACTTGTAATAGTGCTAATTTCTATTGAAATCTGCAGTTTTTGTAAAATGAAAAAATAGGACACACTCTTCACACATAAAGCTCTTCAGCAAGCTAAAATGTTTTAGAGGCCTGGAGTGTCCCTTTACTATCAGAACCAGAAGTCATAGTTAGTAAGTGTTACGGACACCCCACCGGCCCGTATTGGATTACCCTATGTTAAGTTACCGAAGTCGGTTCTTTCGGTATTATTGTTACCTAAACTCCATTTACACGAACAACTAGGATTACCTATACCTGCATACGAACTCAGACCACCCGGCCCCTGGCGTGTGCCGCCTCTTAACCCTGTTGACCTCGGAAATAACCGAACGGATGACCACCTTGAAGCTGCGGTATGCGGTTGACCACAACCTTAATTGACTGCCTCAGGGTGGCCTCGTTCGTCGACTATTTTCACCGTATTCAAACTCCCGAACGAGGACCACCTACACCACGGCGTGTGTCTGCACTTAGAAAGTTGAGGCTGCGGTTAACCACAGGCAAATTGGCCCCTTCAGGGCGATCTACGTTCGGTTCACGAAAGGGTTGGGACAACCAGAGAGCGATATTCGTACAGCATGCTACCCGTGTTTCGCTCCAGGAGTTTTGAAGCCGAGACCCGCTCGCCTATTCACAGATAGAAAAGATGGCCGCCATCTCGTGTTCGGGACAAAGAAACACAAAAAGACATATACCAGAGACTGGCTATACCGTTCGTGAGGTCTGAGCGCTATTCGCCTATATGAGGCGTTCAGACCTGAGCTATCTAATGAATGGTAGAATGTAAGGGGTATTTAGTAAACTGTTATGAATATATATTTTATGCTGTTTTTACATGTTGGAAATACACGTGGGACTCTGGGCATTTGGAGATAATTGAATTGCCATAACCGTTGGAATCATTATCTCCAAGCGGGGCGGGGACTATTTCAAACGATACAGTATATTGTCATTGGTCAACTGTGTGTATTGTCCCGGTATCCCATCAGGTCCAGAGGGGGCTGTCCCTGGACCTGGGATTTTGCATAAATAACGCTGTCCCTGTGCCATTAAAGCCAGTTCATGTTTGACTCTCAAATCGCAGCCTCGACTCGTTTTGTGGGAACCAGGGTATCCTAGCTTTATATTAACAGGACTCTGGTGGTCTGCTGAACGGAACAGCGCTCCTCACTCTCCACATTCGGGAACCAGGACATCCAAGCGGTCCAGCCTTCAGCTAGCTTGGAGGTAACCGTAACAGTAAGCAATTCTGTTCGGCATAAATCTCACTAATGACAGTTCCCCTTTAGTCCAAGCACCATAACTACTGCAGCCCTTGTACTGTTTGAGTGTGCGCAAATTTGATAATGTGTATAAGTATTAAGTAAGTACATCCCAGCCCCGGTGTCATAGGACAAGTGTATACTCCCTGCATGTCAATTTCCCCATAATAAATAAACATACGATGAGTTGTTTTGTCCCCTTTCCATGTGATTGAGTAACCGCTCAAACCGCCTGAGCTGACATGTGATGTAATTACATGAGATATCGCTTTGGGTGTGTGTGACCTTTGGTTAAATAAACCTTTCTATTATTAGTTCCATATCTGAACTCTATTGTGTGTCCGACTTCACATACCATAAATATTTGTGTACCTCAAAACAGAATGCACCTGTCATGGCTAATTATATATTTCCTACCTGTTCTATGTTAAATTTTGTATTTATTGTGTATTAATATTGTTTTTGTATTTTATTGTACCCTAATTGTAACAATGCAATGAAATCTCAATGTGTCTTTCCTGGTAAAATATTTTATAAATAAAACACCGTGGTTATGTTATTTATAGTTATTTTATAAACCTATAGCCTGAGCTGCAATACAGATAGTTGGTATATTTTTCCAGGAAAAACTGTTATCTTGAACACATCTAATACATGCCAAGAGTCCTAGAATTTTATGGACAGTCACTAATTCTGACTTCTGCTGTACACGTTTTTTTTATTTTATTTTATTTTATTTTATTTTCAGGTGTTGGAGCATGGCATTGAGTATGATTTGAATGCTGCTTTAACCCCTTAAGCACCAAACTTCTTGAATAAATGGGAATCATGACATGTCACACATGTCATGTGTCCTTAAGGGGTTAAACAGTGATGTCCACTGGTAGGTATCCAGCTAGAACTACAATCCCCATGATGCATTGCCAGGCTTACCTTTCCCTTCCTTTTGGAAACCCTAAGACATGGGTAGGCAATCTTTTGGCACTCCAGATGTTGTGGACTATATCTCCCATAATTCTCTACAGAGGGAGTTCCTAACCCGTGGTATGCGTATCCCAAGGGGTACGTGAAGAAAAAAATAAATGGTGGCAGTGTATCCACGCCGCACAGGTTTGGAACTGCATTATGAGCGGATAAAAGGGTGGCGTATGCCCTAAGGGGCCGATCTTGCGCTGTGATGCTTTAATAGCGCGACCAGGCCCCTTCTAATGTTCTAGAATGCTAGGAGGAAGCGAGAGAGAGGTGGGCACTTCATCCCAGCTCAAACAGACATAGCCATGCAGGAGAAGCGGGCCGCAGGCTGCGAAGGGTGTAGACCTGGAGAGAAACAAGCCCCCAACTCCTAACAGCCTCAGCCAGCAGAAGCCTGTGACTTGTATGTGGGTTTGTCTGTGTGTATATATATATATATATATATATATATGTGTAAGTAATGTTTGTATCAGTGTGTGCATCTGTATGTGTCAGTATGTGTGTCAATGTTTGTATGTGTGTCAATATTTGTATCTGTGTGTCTGCACATCTGTATGTGTGTCAGTGTTTGTATCTGCATTTGTGTCAGTATGTGTACCAGTGTGTCTGTTTCTGTGTATCTATATGTGTGTCATTGTTTGTAACTGTATTCGTATGTGTCAGTGTTTGTGTGTCTATGTATCAGCATGTATGTCAGTGTGTGTGTCTGTGTGAGTGTGTCATTGTTTGTATCTGTGTGTCTGTACATCTGTATGTGTGTCAGTGTTTATATCGGTGTCTGTGATTTTGTGTGTCTGTGTCTGTATATCTGTATGTGTGTCAGTGTGTCTATCTGCACTGTGAGAAGCAGGGGAAGCCTGGGGCAGAGGAGGAGTAGAGAAAAGAGGGGCAAGGTGGGAAAGAGAAAAATGTATACATTTTAAATAAAAACTATATTAATAACAAGAATTTTACCTATATGAGGGGTACAATATATGGAAATAGGCTTCCAAGGGGTACACAAGTGAAGAAAGTTTGGGAACCACTGCTCTACAGTCACAATACTGGCAAAGCATCAGGGGAGAGGTAGTCCACAACATCTGGAGTGAAGAAAGTTTTCTTCCCCTGCCCTAGGAAGCTGGAGCTACTAAAGCTAAATCAGCAGGACATTTCATGCTGCCACTGGGTGTTTTTAAAGATCTGGATTGGTGACTTTGTGCCCAAAACACAGACAGCGTTTCTGACAGCCAGGAGGGCTGCACCCGGGGACGCACAGGTTTCACTTCCTGACTACGCTGTGATTATCTGATGGGAACCTGCTTATCCAGTTCCTTCCTTGGTGTGACTTCAGTGTCTTGTGACCCAATGAACGTCACTGAGCGCCCCTCCCAGGGAAACTCTATAAAGCCAGCAGCTCTGCTGTGAGGGCAGGTCTACTGAATCCACAGCACTGCACAGGTAAGGCAAATATCTACTTAGATGTTATTACCTGTCCGCAGGGGCCACCGCTAGGCATCAGTGGGCATCTTCCCTGCTTGTAACTTATTGGGTGGTGTTGGTATATGAATACTACCAGTCCTGTTACTCTCCTCACACATCTACCACCCCAAATACCAGTCCTGTTACTCTCCTCACACATCTACCACCCCAAATAACAGTCATGTTACTCTCCTCACACATCTACCACCTCAAAAAATTGTTCGGCCCCTCCATTAATACTGATACCACCCAGATACCAGTCCTGCCCCCCCAAACACACTGACACTGCACAGATATCAGTGCTGGCCCCCCGATAACACTGATATCACCCCAAACACCTGTAGTAGCCCTCTCTTTGCATACTTACCATCGTTTGTACTGGTCTTACCCCTCTAATAACACTGACACCTTCCCAAATACCCATCTTTCCCAATCCAACCCTACTGACATCTCTCAAAATACCTGTACTACTACCTGTGACCTCTTACAGTGACCCTTCCCCCCGCCCCCAATACCTGTTTTAGCACTGCAAGCACATACTATGTGTTCAGGAGGAATTAAATCAGTCATAGCAGTTACTGCATTCTTTCATTTAATTAGTTAATTTTATATCATATTCTCATTCTCCTCTATTCACACCTCCCTAACTTCTCTAGTCTGTGCACACCATCCTCATCTAAACCACCACATCCTACAGATGTGGAGCCCAAAACTAGGGACTGATAGTGAAAACACAGGACTATTGGACACAATGCTTCTGTCACAGCACTGCCCTGCTTTGTAGGGTATTTCATTCTGACTCCATCTGGCCATCCCGCCATCTGCTACTGTACTCACCCACCCCAAATTCCCATATCATGTTACCCCTCTAGCTAGATCTCCTTTCCTTCATATTGATGTCACTGCAACCCCAGCCTCCCCATGTTACTGCGCTTAGAACTGTATTAACCCTTCCTACTCCATCCAATAACCATAACTATAGAATGTTAGCTCGTTTGAGCAGGGTCCTCTTCAAACTATTGTTCCTGTAAGTTTTCTTGTAATTGTCCTATTTATAGTTAAATCCCCCCTCTCATAATATTGTAAAGCGCCACGGAATCTGTTGGCGCTATATAAATGGCAATAATTATAATAATAACAACTACATCCCCTTTTCTACCCGTGCATCACCCCTTAGCTCCACCGTACTCACCTCTCTTTCCCCGTATTAAATTAATGTTTATTTTTCTCTGTTGATTTTTTTTGTTACTGATTTAAAAAAAAAATATTTTACACTATTTGTATAAAATGCACATTTTACCCGAATCCGCTGTCCATTATCACTCCTTGATAGACATGGCCCTGTGCTGTGTAGTAAGTCTGGCCTACACCGGCCTGTCCTGGCTGCTTGCTGATAATTTGGGGTGTTGGAGAGGCTCATTGTGGGTTATTGGACTGTACTAAGTACAGGGTGATACAGTCACACAATATTGATTTAAAGATTAACTACACGCATGTATTGATCTCATTGACACTGGCTTTCACAGTAAACAAACATTGACGACTGGCAGTCCGTGTTATCACATGGGTAATGATATATGTGACATGTTTATAGATACAAAGTACCGGTACATAGTTACAGACAGACACCTTTATTTTCCATCCAGGTTGACACAACATGTCTCTCTATCCATCTCTAGAGGATCTGAAAGTGGACAGGGCTATCCAGGTGAGAAACCGTCTGTCTGTCTGTCTGTCTATATGTCTTCATTTGTGTTATTTGGAAATCTGTCCCTCGTCAAACCAAGTCACGCTGTATTGATGATTCATAGAAAAATATTTATCAACTGTGATTAATCTGACGATTCATAGTGAGCTCTCACATGAGAAAATTGATCACTCACCTTACTTTATAAATTACTTACTCACCTTAAAGGACAACTGTCACCTCAAAACTATTGTTTATTGTAATAATCCTTTATTATCACGTTTTGAGGAAATAGATCATAGAGACTTAATGTCAGTTTTCATTCAGAGTCTGACCCAAGGTGTGTGTATATGGCTGAAGGATCCGGTCATATAATAAAAGTAGGGATGAGTTTCTAAAAATTTTTAAACATACGTCATTGAAAAAATATATATTTCCTTTAAAAACGTGATTAAAGAATTATTATAGTACATTTTTATGCGGTAACAGTTGTCCTTTAACTAGTAAATTCCTCACTTGCATTAACCCTCGAATATAGTCCATCACACTCCCCTCAACCTGTAATGTGCATCCTCACACTCACCTATTATACTCCCACTCACCTGTTATTATACTCGCACTCACCTCAACCTGTTATCTACATCCTCACACTCACCTGTTTTATGCTCACACTCACCTCAACCTGTAATCTACATCCTCACACTCACCTGTTATTATACTCACACTCACCTTTCAACCTGT